GGGGGGGGGGGGGTACGGATATTAAATGGAATAGCCCGATGTAAGGCTATAACTAAGCCAAACCTGAAACAATTTTTGCATCAATTTGTGTCTGGATAAAAAATAAGTAGTGAATTAAATACAGACGTTTCCTTGTCTGTTGCTATGTGAAACAATGTTGTTTATAGCGATAAGAGTCATTGTTGATCAATAACAATGCTCATTTGCTAAAAATATACAAGCATTGATTCCATTTCCAAACTATTATACTATGTGAATATATTGGCAATTAATACAATTGTATATAAAAGGAGATACAGTAGAATTGAAATAGTTTACCAGTTACTACCAGTTTCAATCAAATAACTACTTTAATTTCTGTATCAAGCCTCCTGGGTATTATTGTTTCATAAGCATCAGTGAGGGGGCACTTGTTCTAAATATATGCAATAAGTCTGGTTACCATTAAAAAATGTCCATATTCAGAGTTACCGTTGTAATATATTTTATTAAAATACTGCAGAAATGCAATATATTTCATGATTTTAAGAATTAATTGAATGGGGACTGCATGGTTAAAAGAGGAGGGGGGCTTTTTTATTTTTATTTTTGTATCCAAATGAGGGGGGTTGGAGAGGGGCTTGAAGAGAAGGAGCTAAATATAGAAATTACAGTACCTACATTCCTTCCTCTCGCTTCCCAAACATGCTGCAGGAGAAGGGGCAACTGCTAGTAAATACATCCTTGCCTATAATTAGTTGCTGATTAAATGTTCAAAGATACAGTGTGAAGCATGAAAAACAAATGGTACAATCCTGGAAAAAAATTAGTAGACTTCTTAAATTTTCAAACTTTGTCCCCCTTCCCCCTTATACAATGTTGGTATTTAGGTGACATGTGTTGCAAATCCACTTTACCTGGACAAACATTGTTTGTGGGGGGAGGGGGAGGGGAATTTAAGGTAAATCGTTGTTTTAATTGAAAAATGCTCACATTTTCATCATATGATTTCAAATTTGGGTGTATATTTCGAAAAGTCTACACATATTTTTTCCAAGATTGAATCCTGGAAAAAAAATAGTAGACTTCTTAAATTTTCAAACTTTGTCCCCCTCCCCCCTTATACAACGTTGGTATTTAGGTGACATGTGTTACAAATCCACTTTACCTAGACCAACTTTGTTTTTGGGGGGAGGGGGAGGGGAATTTAAGGTAAATAGTTGTTTAATTGAAAAATGCTCACATTTTCATCATATGTTTTCAAATTTGGATAGATACCCACTGAAACAAATTTTCAACAAATATATATGGATTTGTTCTTACTTTCGACACAAGTAATTATAGTCATTATAATTACAAACACAATGTACTGTCATTTAAAGACTTTATACGGTATGTGCTCCATGTATATATATTAATGTAATATAATATAAAAAACAATGGGTTTAGTGTTCAAATATATGATATATAATACCGTAAATCTCTGACTATAAGCCCTGGGCTTATATTCTTTTGTAAGCGATTTTTGATGGGGTTAGGTGGGGGGGGGGCTTATATGCACGGGGGCCTTATACATGGACGATCAATTGTGTTAGTAATAAACAAGTCAGTCATAAACAGGAAAATAAACATGTATTAATAACACACTTCGATTAACATAGTAAGCTATAAAGACAATGACAGTGTTTTTAATATCGTTCCCTGCTATGTTAAAAGACAATGTCAATGTTAAATAATATAGTGGGATACTGGGTTTATATTTAGGGGACTTATATTCAGGGGAGCTTATATTTTTTTGGGGGGGGGGCTTATATTTGGAATGAGGTGAGCATTATATTCAGAGGTTTACAGTATACAGTTGAAAAAAGCTTGTATTTTCTTGTCATAGACACACATTTCTGGGTGTATATAGAACAGCTTATATGTTGGGTTCTCGTGTCGATCCAATGGTAATTTGATATCACTGCCATCACCATAGTATAGTGTAGCACAGAATGGCCTTATATCATACTTTGACATACTATCATGCATGCAGAAATGCCTTGGTCATTCATGTGGAGATATGACTATCACGATAGAATTAGTTACGCCAAGTAACATGTCGTACACGTCAGGTAGCAGCTGAAATATTTTAATCAATGATTTGCCATAATAAGCCCATATTGCATAACCTGTTGGCAAAACAACCAAAACATCTTCACCATTTTACAATGGCCGAGATACATTTGAATGTCTCGTCATTTAACGAATATTCAAGCCCTCTTTTCGCTAGAAAAGCTTTCATAGCTCTTTCAATATTTGCCATTGAATATAGTTTAATAGTAGTGTGATTTAAAGCACCTTTAAACGTATAAAAAACCATTTTGTATACTATATATATTCTGATGAGAATCTGTTCAACAAATATATCGATTGTGAGCGTGTGCCCGCGCGAATTTAGTAAGCGGAATAAACATAAGCAATAAAAGCGCATGCGCCATTTATCTCATTTTGGATAAAATAAATTCGATTTCCCCAGAGTCATGCCACTACCTAACCCGCTAACAGGCATACTCTGGGAACGAGATTGTTATTTTAGAGTCTTTATAGTGCCTTTTAATTGAATTATAACACTAAATTACACTAATATGTCATATAATAATAATACTCCTATAGTCGAACATATAATAACAACATATAAGTTGATTTGTATTTGTATGTTTTTCAGTTTATTTATTTAAGATCTATTATTAGCTTATATAAAAGCACCGCCTTTCGAACCTGACAGCCCGTTCGCAGGATACACGCGTTATTTCCAACATGAGCTCCACCTTTGAATTTACTATATGAGTAAATTCTTAAACACGTCCGAATTTATCATTATGATAAATTCGCGGCACATTTTGAATTTATCAATAGAGTTAATTATAAAACCACAAGCATTACACAAGATTTCTTGTTATAAATGTAATGGCACTAGAAGGTAGGCTAGTCGCGTCGGGGTGGGGTGTTTTTCATGTTTTTTTAAAAATATAGTTTTTAAGAAAGTTTTAAAAGAGTTTTGAAAAGCAAGAAAAGTTTAAAAAGTTAGATTTTTAAAAAAGTTAAAAATTTTTAAAAAGTTAAAAAAATTAGGGTTAGGGGTTAGTGGTTAGGGTTGGGGTTAGGGTTAGTGTTAGGTGCCGCGAATTTATTATTATGATAAATTCAAAATTTGCCGCGAATTTATCATAATGATAAATTCGGACGTGTTTAAGAATTTACTCATATAGTAAATTCAAAGGTGGAGCTCATGCTGGTTATTTCGCACTGAAATAAGAAGTGTGACAAGGGATGAAATTACAACACGGCGATGTTTTATTTTGAAGCCGTATGTACTTGTTAAAACGAATTTTAGCGTGAAATTCGGCCACATGATATATCTAAGGCTAAAGTACATAGCCATTGAAAAATTTTGTGAAATAAAAGCCCTAGAGTCTTACAAATTGCTATAGTTTTTTAATAGCGACGTTTCGTAGCATTATTTTAATTTTAAACATTGAAACCGTTACGATCTTGTCTAAAAGTACACACGAGTGACCACGAGTGACCACGAGTGACCACGAGTGACCACGAATGACCACGAGTGACCACGAATGACCACGAGTGATTTCCGTGTTTAAAAGTCATAAAATAATAATAAAAAACTATTTTAAGTTGGCTCCATAGGGTTTTTGCATTATACTACACTTTTGTATCCAGAAAACGCCCGTTTCTTCACTTTACATGACACGAAGACGAAATTTATTGGACATATTGACAATGCTCTCCTGAACATTGCAATGTGCTACTTTTGCGAGAAAGTGTGTTACCATGGCAACAGCGTGCTTAGGATGAGGCTCAAAATTTGTCTTTTTTCGGCCATTTTAAAAATCCTTTCGGGAATTTTTTTTTAGTTTTTCAGACTATTGTACACGTCAGTCTACAGGAACATAACAAAGCATCTGAAGTTGGGGGGGGGGGGGTTGTTGGAGGATTTTACCTGAAATTTGAATTTTTAATTAATAAATATTTACCTAAAGTGTAATAATTATAATAAAGCTTCTTGTGACAATGACTTGCACTGTCATACTAAGTTTCGGGAGAAAACGGGGGTTTGGGGGTCCTCCCCTAAAAAATTGTTCCATTTTTGAAGCTCTAGGACTGCAATTCTGGCGTTTTCTAAAGCAAATTCGCAAACAAATTGGATATAAATTGACTGTATATTTTACAACAATGGTTATCATTTCACACAAATAATTACTTTATTACGCAAATTTTACCTGAAAATATCAAAATTTGTGTGGGGTAGGGGGGGGGGGTTACACGTCACATCTCGCAAAAAATGCCAAAATTAAACCTAAATTTCACCCTTTTCCTTCGGTGAATTGTTTTAAAACTTTGCACATTTCTTAATATCGGCTAAACAAGCTCAATATCCTTTTTTCTTAAGGGAATAATCTAAGAAACGTTCCATAATTTTTTTTAAAATTGAAGAAAAAAATCATTATACGAGAACTGATCTTTTGTGCAAATTTTAAAATTTTTAAAACGGCCGGAAAAAGACAAAATTTGAGCTTAATTATCCAAAGCAAGCTGTCACCATGGTAACGGACTTTCAGCGCAAAAGTGGTTAATTGCAATGTTCAGAAGAGCATTGTTAATGTGTCCAATAAATTTTGTCTTCGTGTCATGAAAAGTGAAGAAACAGGAGTTTTCTGGATACAAAAGTGTAGCATAATGCAAAAACCCTATGGAGCCACCTTAAAATAGTTTTTATTATTATTTTATGACTTTTAAACACAGAAATCACTCGTGGTCATTCGTGGTCATTCGTGGTCATTCGTGGTCACTCGTGGTCATCCGTGGTCACTCGTGGTCACTCGTGTGTACTTTTAGACAAGACCGTTACGGTTTGCTTCCTTGTTTATATCATTGATTCCTAAATGTTGACGGCGTTATTCGACACGACACTCATTGCATAATTATCGGTCCACTCAAGTCGGGGCATTCATAATACGACAAACTTTAAGAGTTTCATCCCTCGTCACGTATTTATATTGTTGCCGCCCCCTATTTCAAATCCCGCGCGTATCCTGCGAACGGGCTGTCAGGTTCGAAAGGCGGTGCTTTTATTGCTACCGCAGGCAGAATAATATTTTGGGCTCACTTTTTTCGAATTTGCCTTGTAACCAAGCCTGATCCAAGATGGCGGCCATCAGTTGCTAAGCAACTTACCTTTATTTTTACCGCAAGAAATCAGTGAACTCTATATATATATATATCTGGAACGATAACATTCAGTCATTTGATTGCGAAAAAAATGAAGCCTCGATACCAGTCTTTCACGCGGATTGGACGTCAGTCTCAGTCCCTCAAACGTCAGGTTTACGCGGATTGGACGTCAGTTTCATTCCCCCTCTTGCAAACCGTTGCACGGCCAGTATAAATTTGAACGCAATCACGAAAAAAAAATTAAAAACATGGCCAACTCAATACAATACATTTTAGGAGCAAACTGTTTTGCTCCTAAAATTTACTGCATTGAGTTCGCTGTCGGAAAAAAGTCGAGGAAAACTTCCCCGTGTGGAGAAAAGAATCACTTTTTCAAATATATTGTGTCGTACTGTCGTTCTGGATGCACAAGGAAACTAGAGATATTCTTGCGAGAAAATTTCATTTCACAGGTAGGTAAATTGACTTGCAACTGTGACTTTGCCGTTGCCATTTTTCGCGATTGTTTGAATTGTTTTTTAGTTTACCAGTTTTATAGTTTTTAGTCAATACACTGGTACGTTATTTTTTAAAGAATTTATTGTGTGGTCGGAATTTGCCTGCCAGCAAAATGTAAATGAATATGTACGTGTGTTTGAATATAAATTAGACCATATGGGCTTAGTAAAAAATTATTTTAATAACTACGTTTCGGAGTATAACTCCATCTTCAGGTTAAAAGTGAATAAAGATATAAAAACTGTGATAAAAACTTTCAAAACAATTACAAATTTTATATGTAAGTGATTTTTAATACTGTAAGAAAGTTCTTGAACAGTTGATGACGAAGACAATGACGAATACTTATGTCGTGATTTTTTTGTCGGCTTCACTTTTCGCTCGCTGTTATCGTTCCAGATATATATATATATAGAGTTCACTGCAAGAAATTCGACGGAAATACCACTTCGATAATTTCGGTAAACCGCATTTTGGACTGAATTTAAAGAGCAAGCAATAACATAAGACATCGAAAAGGCAAAAGCGAAGATTTTAACCGAAGAACCGACTCAATTGATGTTTCAGGTACTGCGCTAGTACGTTTAATAGTTCTGGCTCATGAGTCAACAAGTTTTATATACAACTGATATACACTATAAAATATTAAAATCGCATGACATTGAATATTTGTGAAATTTCTCGATATTTTTATCGTTTTTTTTGCATTTAGATTTTGTGGTTTTTCTATTATTTCTATACAAAGTATTCTACTGTTCAAGGGTGTATACATTTATCAATGATAAAATCAATTTTAACCAATAAATATGGCAAATTGTTTTTTCCACACAGCTAGGGCCTAGGGGTAATTGATGACTTTGGAAGCCCAAAGGCAGGTAGTGACTCAGAGGTAGTGACTCAATCAAGTGTAGAAAGTCTACCATGCAAACTAACACAAATATTGAGTCGGGAACTTCATGTCATAATTAAGTTCTTAATTTGTTGGTTTGCATGTTGATAAATAATAATAAAATTGTTTTGTTTACAGAAACACTTTGCGGAGCTTTTGACTGTAAATATATTATATTTGCACTGATGAGCATCCAAGCTTGTGGATTGCAAAGTAAATCATTTGACTTTGTGGTGTTTCCACAAACAAAACAATTATGTCAACTCATTCATGTCAACAAAATATTTTGTACATAAAATCCCCTACACCATATTAGGGATTGGGGATCAAATGCTTATGCCACACCACAATGAATTTTACTTATGCCAAATATCATACATTCCTCTTGATAACATGATCAATGGCAAATGGCTAAATCCATGCCAACAGGGGAAGGGGTGGTCACCCCCAAATTGATTGGTGCATTTTAAAAGTTCACTATAATTACTGTATTTTAAAACCATAATGGCAGATTAAAACTATATTAATGAGGTATCATATTTTATAATGGCAGATTGCATTTTTTCCCGAGAACAATAATTTTATAAGAAAAGAACCCCCATCCCTGGAATTTCCAACCCTGGAATTTCCAAATAACACAAAATCCCCTTCCCTGGAAATGCTAAAATTACTGCATTCCCTTTTGACACACAACCCCTAGGTTTGAACTTAATTTAACCCCAAATCCCTCCCCCCCTTCTCCTGGAATTTCCAAAGTCCTCAAACCCCTTATGTGGAAAAAACAATCTGCCATTTTGACAACCTCGTTCCCAGGCTTTCATGTGAGGACGAGGGGAGAGACGAGAAAGCCCTGGTCTGGGCTGGTCACGTGACTACCCAAAAAAATAGCAGTATTTGACAGCTACTCATCAAGGAGTGGCGAGATATTCTTTAATGAAATATACAAGTCTTCGAAACAAATAAACAGCCAAAACGCTTCTCAATCGATATTATTTATGTGTATACAAATACAAATGTTGAATTGTCAACTGTCAATTAACAATTATTCGCCGAAGGCGAGGTGATTATCGGTGAATAAAAACCGAGACGAAGTCGAGGTTTTTATTCACTATAATCACCAAGCCTGAGGTGAATAATTGTTTTAGTATAATTTCATAGGTGATTATTTGGAAAAAAATAAGAAAGTACACATTTCTTTGTCATTTAATTGACAAAAAGGCTTCGGCCGCCATTTTGAAAATCGCTTAGGTGATTATCGCGTAATAATCACCTCAACGGCAACCAATCAGCGTGGAGAATTTTCAATAATCACCTATGTAATTATACTAAGTTCAGTTATTTTTAGACAATATGGTGTTAGCCAATCAGAATGCAAATAAAAAAAAAACACAAAATGTAATTGCAAGAAACGATCAAAATGTATGTCAATGTCATGCGATTTTAATATTTTATAGTGTATATCAGTTGTATATATATATAAAACTTGTTGACTCATGAGCCAGTACTATTAAACGTACTAGCGCAGTACCTGAAACATCAATTGAGTCGTTTCTTCGATTAAAATATTCCCTTTTGCTTTTTCGATGTCTTATGTTATTGTTTGTCTCTTTAAATTTAGTTCAAAATACGGTTTACCGAATTATCGAAGTGGTATTTCCGTCGAATTTCGTGCGGTAAAAATGACGGTAAGTTGCTTAGCAACTGATGGCCGCCATCTTGGATCAGGCTTGGTTACAAGGCAAATTCGAAAAAGTGAGCCCCAAATATTATTCTGCATACGGCACATTCAAGATTTTAACATCGTATTTCAGCCGTGTTTATACTGCTTGGCGCGCATTCGCTGCGTTATATTAATTTTTATTATATAAAGTATAGTGTTATATAGAAATTTTGGGCACTCAGAAAAGTCGTATTTGACTCGCGATAAAAATATCGCAGCAACACACGTAAAAATACGATATTTTTACGTGTGTTGATACGATTTTCCAGCCAATGACAAGTCGCGAAATAAATTTAACTAACCAATCACAACGCTCTTTATAATTGATAATAAAATCAAAAATTTTCAACAGCCATTTTTCAATTTGTTTCGTACAAAGTTTTAAAAACAAAAACCTGAAAAACCATGAGCACACGATTCCATGAAATTAATGAAAAGGACGTTGACGAGTTCAATGAAACAGAGGAAAATCAGAATACTAAAAGAAAAACAGAACTAGACGTCAATTTAATCAGTTCATTCTTATATCGCAAGTGAAGCTGCCATGACAATAGACCGCCGAGAATGGAAGAACTGTCGCCGTCTCAACTCGATACATATTTAAGTAAATTTTTGCTGGCCGTAAGGAAAAAAAACGGAGAAGAATACGAGCCAACTACTCTTCGAGGTTTTATATCCTCAGTCGAACGTTATCTGAAAAAGACACAATGATAGGCGCTAGTCCGAAAGCTAAGAAACTACGACGATTTTGTAATAAATTTGTTTGGATTTTATTCGTTTGAGTTATGGTGGTGTACAGATATTGTTTATATAATAAACAGAACAAAACATGTGTGCTTGGAAATACCAGATTTATTTCTCGTGTTAAACATGATATTTCACTCGTTCGCTGCGCTCACTCGTGAGATATCATGTTTAACACTCGAAATAAATCTGGTATTTCCGCGCACCCATGTATTATTCTCTATATATACCTATGTTATATACAGTACACATATTTATTCGCGCATTCGCTGCGTTATATTAATTTATATACCTATGTTATATACACATATTTATTACTAATAAATCAACACTATATGATAATATATAAGAACTCACAAAGTGCAGTCACTGAGTCACCTTTTTATAAATAAACCTTTTTAAAAGCATGTCATTGTCATTGCAGATCAGAGGCAAAAAGCACAGCCACATAGGCCTACCAGATTTATTAAGCAATCGTGAGATTATATACATGGAAAGAATATGGAAATTATGTTAAAAGCACCCCGTATAATGACGAAAGCACCGCGTATAATGCTCGAACCACTGCGTATAATGGCGAAAGCACCGCGTATAATGGCGAAAGCACCACGTATAATGCTCGAACCACTGCGTATAATAGCGAAACCACCGCGTATAACGTTCGAACCACTGCGTATCGACAAAATGCCGTTTGATCACTTACGCCAGCTATGGCTTTCCATAAAAGAAAACCAAAGATGAAAGATGATCACATTGCTTGTTTGCCTTATGCCTGTTTATTAGGCAAGAATAGCCTGCCGGCCCGGAAGCAGTGCATTGTGGTAGGCCGAAATGCGCCGAAACGATCGAGATTTCATCTGCCTTATATATATATATATATATATATATGTATATATATATATATATATATATATATATATATATATATATATATATATATATATATATATATATATATATATATATATATATATATATATATATATATATATATATATAATAGTTTTTAAAAAAACCCTTGCAGTAGAAACTGAATTACAGGTCAATACAAAAATCTTATTTACAAATATTATTTACAGTATATAAAACTTATACAAATTTATCTGAGAGGTGTACATAATTTATTATAGTTAAAAATGAATGTATAACTAGACAATAGAGTTATTAGGTTCAACGATCACAGTTTAGGTCGCATACTTAATGGTAACGAATTTCTGAAACCGGTCTGTTCGCATCCTGATATTCCTCGCAACATTGTCAGATCTAAGTTTATAACCATGGTTCACTGGTGCTGAACGGCTATGAACAATTGGATAGAGTGGGTTTCCAGGTAGGATTGTCTCCACAAATCTCTTACAGGCGGCGTCCCTCCGTAAGACAAGCGGTTCGATACCAGCTAGTTTTAGGGCATCATCATAGGAACAGTTAGGGTATATTATGGCCAGTGCTCGTTTCTGGACCCTTTCAAGATCGTCGCTAAGATTTTGAGGAAGGTTGGCGAAAACGACAGAAGCGTATTCCAATACTGATCTTATAATTGCACAATAAACAAATAGGATGTCTGTTGGGGCTACCCCACTCCTCTTAAGCTTCCTCAACGCATATAAACGCCTATTGGATTTCTTAATAATGTATTCACAATGCACAGACCATGTTAAATCACTGGTAACATACACTCCGAGCAGTTTAAATGATGAAACAGATTCCACGCGTATTGCACCAATGATGGTAGGCTGCAAAACACTAGTATTGAAATGAAGAAAGTTAACAATCATATCTTTACAATTGGCAGGATTCAGCTTCATATTGTTCACTTCAGCAAACGAGTGTATATCTGCCACGATATGATTCATCAAGGAAGGGGAATTTCTAGGTACAATTTCCAAAGCGGTAAGATCATCAACGAACTTAGCACGGGGGCCCCACGCAGACAACAGTTCATTCACCACTACGGCAAAGAGGATCGGGCCAAGCTTAGTACCTTGTGGAATACCACCATTGATATATTGAAGTGTAAATGCATCCGACCCAATACGAACGAACTGAGACCTTTTATATAAAAAGGCAGCGATCCATCCTAACACAACGTTATGAGTGCCAAGTTTAGATAGTTTATCAAGTAGAATCTTGTGGTCAATCAGATCGAATCCCTTGCGGAAATCAGCAAAGAAAAATCGGAGGGTGCAACCACCCTTGTCAAGGGCCTCGAGGGCTAGATGGAGAATATATGCTATAACCTGTTGCGTAGATTTTCCAGCCATAGCAAATTGTTTGTTATCCAAGTGACTTATAATGGATGGCAGGATTCTCGCTAAGGTGAGACCTTCCATCACTTTAGCAATTTCGCAAGTGAGTGAGATGGGTCTGATACCATTTTCAATGGAGCCCGGTGGAGATTGTTTGGGAAGAGGTGTAACAGATGCTCTCTTTAATAGAGGAGGCAAATAGGCATCACGTAAGGATGAGTTATAAATATCAGCGATTACTGGCGCTAACTCAAAGGCAAACGTTTTTAGAATTACATTCGGGATTCCATCCGGTCCCGGGGCTTTCCCTGTCTTTAAAGAATAAACTTCGCCAGTTGAAGCCAAGAGATCATCCGCAATACCAGAATCACCAGCAGAATAGTTAGAAACATCGTCCTGTGAGAGAGTCGTAAAATCTTTTGTGAGATTTACAAAGAAATGATTGATTCTTTCGCATAACGTATTAACGGAATCTACAGTTTCACCATCAATGAGGTGCTCAAACCATTGGTTATTTCTGTCAGCCATACCAGAAAAATTTTTAACCTCTCTCCACCATTTGCTTGCGTCCGTGACTTTTAGGTTTCTAACTTTAGACTTATAATACGATTCCTTACATTCTTTGATGGATTGAGCAACTTTATTTCTCCAAAATTTGAAGGAAGAGGACTCCTTCCCATAGTTTGCCATACATGTTTGCCTTTTCCTAATCAATGATTTTATCTTGCTTGTCATCCAAGGCTTGTCGGAGCGGCATTTACGTACTGCCTTCATAGGTAAATATTTTTCAACAGCTCCTAAAAGAGTACGATGGAAACATTCAAATTTATCTTGACACGAACCTTTCGAGATCACCTCTTGCCATGAAAACGAGGTTATCCACTGGCCAAATTCTCGAATTCGACTATCACGGGTGTCTCGTCTAAAGATAGTCTCTTTGGGCGGTGGTTTTGCTCGAGGCAATTTCTGCCTGACAACAAAGCAGTAATGGTCGCTGGAGCCGCCAATCTTAGGTAATTTCTCGGGTACAGACATAATTTTAGGTTTATTTGTTAAACACCAATCAAGGATGCCTGAATCTACAATCTGCGCCAGGCCGCATAACTGACGAAAGCGGCTGGAAGATATATTGGTTGAATTGGGATTAAAATCGCCCACGATGCAAATTAGACTGTCTGGATGACAAGCCAAATGCGAGTCAATAACACCTTGAATATGGTTATAAACCTTGTAATTATCATCAGCCGACGCATGTGGTGGGTGGTAAACAACTGCAATCAGAATGGATGACACTGCCCTCGGAAGTCGACAGGGCCTCATTTGTAACCATAAAACTTCAGTCACGGACTCAGGAATTTCAGGAACTGATAGTCTTTTACATTGAATATTGGACTTAACAAATATTGCTACACCTCCGCCGCGTTTTTCACAACCATGCATTGCAACTGCATTATCAGGTATCTCGTCAGAAAACCACGTTTCTGTAATACATACTATGTCTGAATCATTCTGATTAACCACGCACTCTAGTTCGTCAATTTTTAGTGCAATAGATCGGATGTTACTAACGAAAATCGTAGGGATCCTGGAATCAGGTTGACTAGGATTAAGGGCTATCTTTACTAAGTTATCTCCAGTAATATGAGAGGGTTAAAAGCAAATAGAACTACAGTAAAAAGCACAAATTATATCAAGCACAGTGATTACTCGCAGCGTCTAGTGAGCTGTGAATGGAACTGAGAAGAAGCAATATATATTGAAATAGCAAGTGTCAGGCAAGTGTCAAGAGTCATGCAAGCAAAGACCAGGGGTTAAAGGGCAATCAGAGGTGACATATATTAAACATGTGCGTCTCATTGACATACAGGAAATTAAGGATCAGATTTCATATCAAGTCTGTTTAATGCTAAGCGCATCTACCATTCTACCACATTATATAGACAATATACACAGATTTATCACACTAAAAAACCAAAACTTGATAAAAATATAGAACTGACAGTGGCCAAAGTCCAAAACAAATGTAAGCGTAAGTTGTGTAACATTAGACTTGAAAAAGCTTTAGAAATTCGATAAAGATTCGAAGACTCGAGCGAGTTTAAAATTTGTGTTCTGCGCATAGAAAGCGCGCACGACCACAATTCCATGCGCTTAATAAAATTTAGTTCAAAACCCCCTCTCTGCACATATTAGGTTGTTGCTACGCTCGCTCGCTTCAGGCTCGCTCGCTCCGCAGCAACTAGGACTGCTGCCTCGCTCGCTTCACGCTCGCTCGCTACGGCAGCAATAATGCAGATGAAATCTCGATCGTTTCGGCGTATTTCGGCCTACTGCTTCCGGGCCGGCAGCCTATTCTTGTCTAATAAACAGGCATAAGGCAAACAAGCAATGTGATCATCTTTCATCTTTGCAGTTTTCTTTTATGGAAAGCCATAGCTGGCGTAAGTGATTAAACGGCATTTTGTCGATACGCAGTGGTTCGATCGTTATACGTGGTGCTTTCGCTATTATACGCAGTGGATCGAGCATTATACGTGGTGCTTTCGCCATTATACGCGGTGCGTTCGTCATTATACGCAGTGGTTCGAGCATTTTACGCGGTGCTTTCGTCATAAAAAGGTGACTGCACTTTGTGAGTTCTGTATTATCATATAGTGTTGATTTATTAGTAATAAATCTGTGTATATAACATAGGTATATAAATTAATATAACGCAGCGAATGCGCGCGCCAAGCAGTTTAATTAACGCAGCTGAAATACGATATTAAAATCTTGAATGTGCCGTATGATTTAATTATGTTTTAGGATTTAAAGCCTTTAAAAATGCTTTGTCATTTGTATTTGTATTTGTACTTGTACTGCATCACAAGGCTGTGCGTAAGTGAACAGATTCCACATGTGAGGTTGTCTTGTATATATTTTTGCCTTCTTTGATAAACATTATTAATTAAACACGCAAATTTAGTGAGACACACACTCGCACATGTTAAATGTCACCTGCATGTCATTGTCATTGCCCTTTAACCCCTGGGGCCGGTTGTATAAAACTCTTAATCACTTTTTTAATCACTATTTTGTAGTTAAATAGTGATTAACTCTCAAATAGGCGCTTCTTATTGGATGATGTTTTCACTTAATTATAGTTAACTTTAACCACTTTTTTTATAAAACCGGCCCCAGGTCTAAATCATATGATTATTGAAGTGGGCCGTTTTGACCTAGCACCGTATTTGTAGGCAAATTGTCTATACAATTTTATATACTAGATATCACAGCCATACCTGCCGTTTTGATCTTTTCCTCGCGTTAGATAAGTTGATAAGTACACTCATTCTTGTTAGCCATCGTACCTGTTCGGCTGTTCCGCTTTCGATACGAAACTTCGAGTGCCGAGTTATCATACGGCACATTCAAGTGTATAAACTATGGATGATTCCAATTCATTACAAATATTTCTTATTCTTTAAAATATTAAAGATTTGGGAACAATGCTACACCAAGGCAGCATTCACTACCCTGTGGGTAAACTAGTAAGACTAATAATAGATCTTAAATAAATAAACTGAAAAACATACTAATACAAATCAACTTATATGTTGTTATTATATGTTCGACTATAGGAGTATTATTATTATATGACATATTAGTGTAATTTAGTGTTGCAATTCAATTAAAAGGCAATGTAAAGACACTAAAATAAGTAAACTGAAAAACATACAACACTAACACAGATCAACGCTTGGGCTCCCTGTGTCCAATCTTACTTACCTTTTGAATTACGTTTGAAATGTAATGAAGGGAAAACTTGGAAATACGGAAAAAGTAAACACCTCGGTTTCTCCTTTTTTCAAGACGAAATGACATCATTTTTGCTAAACTTTTAGCCAATAGGAGAAGACTTAAAATTCAAAAAGATGACGAACTGGCTGGATGGGTGACCCCTGGATGGGTTCTGAAAAAAAATCCCCCCAAAACGCAAAAAGCCCAAAAACTCTCGCTTTTTTCACATGCTTCGGAAAGGATTTGAAACGGGAAAATTTGTAAGAATGTAGTAACATTATCCGTAATATAATTAATATGCTGTAGTTTTTGTTTTATTATTGCTATTTGTTTACAAGATATTTGTAGGTTTTTAAAGTGCTTGCGTTAACGGCCGATGATTTGTTTATATTTTGTTCGCCGAGTTGCCTACCTTGAGAATATATTAAACTGATATGAATACACAAACGTCACGCGAGATTGACTGATTATCGCGCGACAAATTATCAATTCCGCCAGCTATGAAAGGAATATTATGTATAAAATTGATTTATTTAAGGTAAAAAAACATGGAATTTTGGGCTGCCTATATATGGGGCAACCTAATTGTATTGCTAACATTGTCCACTACACAGTACAAATAGGCTGTTTATTTCGCTTTGTTTTGACCTACTCTATCACAAAATCACAAATAATATTGAACATATATAAACAGTATTTTTTTACCTTTACAAATAACGTCTTAGCAAAATTTCTTGAGGTTTGAATATTCGTTTCCTGTCTTTCACTAGCCAGGATGATTCTTACCACTTGTGCAACTCGAAACAAATGTTAAAATGTCGAAGAGAATGCAATGAACTCCGAGGCAAACTTCAAAACAAAAAGCTAAAATATTTTTGCGAACATCAGGGGGATGTGAAAGTGGTAGCGGGCTCAAAATGAGACTTGCTCAGTGGCAATTACCACGAGGATTTGGGACCAGTGGCGTCATTCTGGCGTCAGCAAACGTGAAAATCCTCCATGTTTTTGGCCTCACCTTTTCATGCCGAGCACTTCCTTCAGATTGTATAGCTCAGTGTTTATTCTTCGCTAATGCTTTCGTTTCCCCGGGTGTAAATAGCCGGGGGGCTGCCTCGTCCCCAAGCGCTAATAAAAAATTTTCATGCGAGTCACTATATGAAGGTTTACATAAAGTAGTGCGTCACATTATAGGCGCGCATGGGGAGTGGGATATGAGCGTTTCGATGCCTGAAGCCCATAACTCCCTGCGCATGTTCGTCGCGATGCACTACTTCATGTAAACCTATCATATAGTGACTCGCATGAAATTTTTTTTATCAGCGCCTGGGGACGAGGCAGGCCGGGGGGAATTAGTACCCTCGCCCCGGGCTTACGCCCGGAACGACGCTCCGCCTCTCTCCTCCGCAGAGGTTTCAATGAGCTTTACATGGCGCTTACCGTATCGAACCGCTGTGTGGACGACGCGCAGGCGTAGACGGGGAAAGCAGGAAGCGAAACCTCTGAGTGTTAAAATATTAGCGTTCTCCGTGTGATTTGAAGACTTTAAACTGTTTTCAATTATCTGTTACCTGTTCGGGGGGGGGGGGGGGGGGGGGCGTATATGTTTATCAAAGCGAGCTTAAGATGCACCAAATCTACGATGTGGACGTGAAGAAAAACTGTAACTATTCCCACAGTTTCATTACACGGATAAAAGTTATGGCCTCCAGTTGATGAACAAAGTCAGAGACACACTAGTGAAGCAAAATAAAACTGCATTCCAAACATTAGCAACGGTTTTTATGTCACGTCCGCGTCGTAGATTTGGTACATCTTACTAATAAGCTCGCTATAGCGAGTATGGAGAATTCAGAAGACACATTCGAAGAGTCAGTATTAAAATAAACGTATCATTTGATGAGCTTTCCATTGAAGGCTAGTGTCAAACAAGTTATATCTCTTCAATTAAAAACTTTGTATAGGTATTATATTATGATAGTACTGTCTCTGAGTGTCTGTGATTAGTATAAATAATACTGATTAAATTCACTTAGGGGCCATTCACAAAGGATGTCCGGCCAAATGATGGATTTTCAGACCCCCCCCCCCCCCTTGTCCGTCATTGTCCTTTGTGAATGGCCCCTTAGTCACGCCTTGTTATTTGTATATATTATTTCTCAATTTTCCATTGATAATTATACTTTTAAATCAGTAGCTGTAACTATATTTAAAGAATTTGAGTTCTTTACAGCACAATTATAAATTTGAGACAAGTTAATAAGTAATTTGTACTGTAAATTTTGTAAATGGAAATGCAAAATTGATGGGTCTGCCGTCTAGTATAAAAATGAGGCATATATATGTCAGATATATCATGTCATCTATGATTTATATTTCAATTGGTAAACAATAGTTTGTTGATTATGTCAAATAGGATTCGATTTTTATAAAAATCTGCCTGTATCTGGCTACCCTGATTTACAATTATGCAAATTTTTACTTATAGATAGTCAAGCAGATGTTGTATTTCAAGCAGTAAACATCAACTAAGCCCATCCAAAGCTGCACATGAACAACAACCTAAGCGGTTAATCGCCTCGTATAGGAAAGCTTAAATATTGGAAAGATTGTTAAAAGTTTCAGTTGCAACCAGTTCTGCAGTAATTCTACTCCTTTTTTAACCGTTGTTTCTTCGCTGAAATCCGATCGCCGATGAAGCGATCTGTGATGGACATAAAGTCCATTTATTAAAAATATTTCGATTTTCCCATATTCTGTAAAACAAGCATGACAACACGTTTTCCC